AGCTATATAGCTAAGAAGTTCTAAGCTGCATTTGATATATATTTAATAGTTTATAAGAGCGGGTGCTAGGAGAAAGACAGAGAGAGAGAGAGAGAGAGAGAGAGAGAGAGAGAGAGTCTATGGCTACTAATGATTAGGAGTATATCGCTTATATGGAATATAAAATTTGGAAGAGTTGCATTTAATGATCGGCGCAGTCGTAATTTTTTTTGTTAATGATATTTTTTGGCAGCGCTGCAGCAGCGACGCTTTGGCAAATTCCTCAAGTCTCAGCTCAATCCACAGTCGAGTCGATTGTATGGTTATACTTATTTAGTCGTCTAACTATATTTATGAAGATATATATATATATATAGTACATATATATATATATATGTACTACAGGCACAGGCAGTTGCTGGGGCTGAGGCTGAGGTTGGTTGCTGTGGCTAAGGCTGTGGCTGAGGCTGAGGCTGAGGCTGAGGCTGAGGCAGAGGCTGTGGCTGAGGCAGAGGCTGTGGCTGGCTGCTGGCTGTCGGTCGGTTGCTGCTTGTTTTGTTGGCTAATTAGAAGACTTGCGGAATTTGTCAAGGCGTCGCTGCTTACGCGTTTTGTATTAAATTTAAGAAAAAAATCAAATCATTGCTGTAAAATTTTTGCTAGTTTCTGGACTTTCAACTGGCTTACAAAAAAAAAAAGTATATTTATATATATAGTTTATAAATTGTTATAAATATAAAGAGTTCACTTGCTTCGCGTTATATAACCCGCCCACAATTTAGGCAAGTACCACAACCCCGCACACGTACCTCGTGCAATCAATAGCAGAGACATGATGCTGCATAGCAGCCAAGTCCTGCCAAATAAATCCATTGTCCTTGCTTCTGGGAGTTGTCTTCCTATTTAATATGCAGGCCTGGCATAGTTAAATGTATATCTATAGGAATTTTTCCACACTGGCAGCTGGCAAAGAATTACTTTATAGCACTCAGATTTCGATTCAATTGTAAAATTTCACTTTACCTTAGTTTTGCTAAGGTGTTTTCTTATTTTTCCACAATTTTTCGCCAAGTTTTCTGCGGCCTGGCCGAATTTTCCAACTTGAACTGCGGCAGTTTGGGTGCGGATTAAGCTGAAACTCGTTTTCTGGACTCTGGATAAAAATCAATGCGATGGGAGCAGCATCTCAATGGATGCGCGCAGCAGCTGAGCAGGCGCATGCGCAATGCCGCTGCCGCTCTTCATCTCCGCGAGAGCGGATAAAAGAAACGGCTGGCAGGGTGGCTCTTGTAGTTTGTAAACAAAAGGCACACGCTTCTGTTCTCTAAGGGTTGGCCTTGTCCGGCATCAGCTCACAGCTGTTGCGGGCTTTGTTTACCAGCCGAAGTCAGAACTGCCAACACCTCTGCAAGACAGCTAGACAGTGCGTGAGAAAAGTAATACTCCAATGAGCGCACTTCCTCAATCAAAATAATTTGATGTTTAATTATGACACCAGCCAGTCGTAAAGGTCAAGAGGGCGTTAACGTTGTTTACGATTTGCTACGCGCTAATCATTAAAGCCAGAAGCTAGCATTAATATACACCGCACAGTTCCTCATGGCGCCGAAATGATATGCAAAATCATAAACTTGTCCCAAGCTTTCGTTACGCACCGTAACTAAAAAAAATAGCTAAGACAATAACAGCAGTTACACAGTACAGCTTAACTAGTTATGAAAATTATTAATAAATTATTAGATATAAGCATAAGACAAATTAATATTTATTTATTTACTTCTTGTTTCCTTTTCTGCGAAAAAAAATATGAAAATGCTCATTAATTATACTTAAAATCTGAAGAAATAAATTAAATGAAGGTTTTTAATTAATATATATGTATATAAATATTTGATAATATTTATATATATCAATAAAATTATTAAAAATAAGAAATACAACATTTTTTAATTTATCAATCTAGAAATTAAAAAAAAAAATTTTAATTTCCAATACAAAAAAATAATAATAATAATAATAAATGAATAAAAATTAATTGAAAATTGTATGTAAATTAATTTTATATATTTTGTACTACATAAACTAAAATAAATCAAATTCAAAAGTAATTCAATCAATAAATTTTATCATGCCGCGTAGTGATCCACAACAAACAGGCTCTACTGTACAGGTAATATAAGTTAATGGCTGCAATCGCTTTTACGCTCGCTTGACTAGCTTTTAATTGCAAGAACCCCTTCCGCATGCAGGCAGTGATAGATGCCAGCGCAATTTGTTGGAGAACAATCGCTTAAAAATATATTTAAGAAATAATAAAAATATACATATTATACGCCTGGAGAAAAAATATATATGTATAAAAAAGAAGAGGGAAAAAAATAACTTAATGCATGCCATCTAAAGCCCCGTGTTAGACGTTTGGTAATGAAAGCATATTTTTGCATTGTTGATGCCTTCATATGAGCGCATGACAGCGCAATACAATGCAAACGAAAGACTCAGGCCACGAACGTGCCGCATAACAAAAAGCAACAACAACAACGACAACAACAAAGACACAAACATGAGCAAACGAAGACAACTTGGACTCTGTCAGAGGTAGCATCAGCATCAGCACCAGCATCAGCAAAAAGAGAAACAAACGCTAAGGTCGCCAAGCGCGCATAAAAACTCAATCTTTAGCTTTTGTTGTAGTTGGCGCAATTTGGCTGCCTATTTGGTGTCACCACACATCATCAGCATCATCACCATCCGCAGCAGCAGCAGCAGCAGCAGCAGTTGCAGTTGCAGTTGCCGTCTGTAGTTGAGTCTGACTCTGATAAAAATCACGTTTGCAACGCCAACGCAAATTACATGATATTAATATTTTTCGTATAGCTATTCCATCAAAATTTTCTACTTAATTATTGACTGCATTCGATTGAAACACTTTTCGGGATGCCAGCTGCTTTCAAGGTTGAGACGTGCCGCAGATGGCCTACAAAAGTACACAGATCTGCTTACCTAACAATCTGGGCGTAGCTTTACTGTTATGCATACCTAAGCAAACGATTTGTTTAACTTTTTATTTATTTTTTTTTTATTTTTTTTTTTTTTTTTTTTTTTTTTTTTAAATATTTTTGGAGCATATTTAGCACAAATGATATGCAAAGAGCTCATCATAAACTTTAGTTTGTTGACGCTCCATGACAAAACAACAGCAAGCGAATTCCAATGCTTGAATGAGATATACAGTAACTAAATACCTGATTCCTCAGAATGAAAAATAAAAAATACAAAAATTATAAAATTCACAAATTCAATTTTAATTAATCTTTTTTATCATATATGAAGTTGTTAAAGTTAAATAAATATTAATTCAAGAAATTTCAAATGCCTCAAACCATCTGTTAGTTTTTTCTACGTTTTTTTGGAGCATCTTTTCGATTGACAGCAATTTGTTTTAATGGATTGCCTAATTATTTGGTATAGCATCCGCTTGGCTCATTCGATTTGAAAAAAAAGCAATTAATCATAAGCATAAGACAAATATAAATATAGACACAAATGTATGTTTATAATGTCTAAATTGTGCATGCCTCATTCTATGCAAATTGTGTGTGTGCGAATATAATAATTAATAACTTGCGAAGCGTTAATGGAAACGTAATGTGATACCATAAACATTTAGACTGCCTTTTGTGCTGTATTCGGTGTCTGTTTGCTTCTCATAGCTAAATAAATTAATTAGCCAGGCACACTTGCAGACAAAACACTTGTATGAGTTCGTGTTAATTTTTACACCAAAGATTCTTGCGCATAAGCCAAGACTCTAGCCCACAGCAACTGCATATTAATACAAAAGAAAAATATAGAAACTGAAAACAAAACAAAACAAAAGAAAACAAAAAAACAACGAAAAGCAGTCCAAAATGAGCAACTCACCGAAAATTGCACAATTAGCAAAAGTCTACCGTCAGTTGATGCTGCTGCTGCTACTTCTGCCGCTGCTGCTGCTATTGCAGTTGGGCAATATTAAAAGTCCTCAACCATATTAACACTTTGGGCAATGTTTTGCGGCGCGCCGCAGCGCTCAAAATTTGTGTCAAACCCAACAGCCAGCAACAACAATGATCGAAAATCATGCAGCAAAGCGCACGACCAACAATAACTGCAACAACAACAGCAACTGCAGCAGCAACAGTCACACAAAAAATAACCCACAACCAAATGGTTAAAATACAGCTTGGCACATAAATCGAACACGATTTGACACACGCTCAAAAACTTGTGCATTTCGGCTACGGGGCAGACTCATTTCAAGGGGGGCATGCCAATGAGGAAGTGCAGCAGGTGACACAAGTTAGCTGCCTTATTGCTTCCTCATGGGTGGCACATGCCACAGCATTAATAGGTTTTCAAGTGAACGCCATCTTGCAACTGCCACGCAGTAGAGCAGCGAATAATTGAACAGCCTGAAAGTAGGCAATACTTTTTATTTAGCTTGGGCAGCAACTGGCAGCAACAGAAAAAATATATATGTATAAAGACTTGACTAAAAAAAAAATAAAATATAAATTAACTTAGCTTTCCATTCATGGTTTGCTAATTATTCGTATTTTGATCAAATGCTCAGCACTGCAGATAAATAAATTTAACGAACTGCCTGAAAGTGGGCAACGATTTTTTACTTTGTTTCTGGCCCAAGCAAAAGCTGAATAATCTGCACATAAAGCAATCATTTTTAGCAACTCAAGTGCAGCAACTCAGAAATTTTATTTTACCAGCAACAAATATATAGATATAAAAACCAAAATAGTTCACATTATTAAGTATTTAGCACAAATTAATCTCTCCAGCTAAACACGAATTAAAGCATGCGCACAAAAGTAGGCAACACTTTTTGCCAACTGAATGCACGCTAAGCGCAGCTAAGTATGATTTATATTTAACTGTAAAAAACGAACACAAATCACTGTTAAATGTAATTGTTTATTATTTTAAGACCGACAGCTAACTATGAGCGAACAAAACTTCGTTGGTACATTCTTATTTTGTATGCAATAAAAACTATTTACAAAACTCCAGCAGACCCTAAACTACCCAGCCATATCAATTAGCATATTCAAGCATGTCAATCATCTGTCAATCAATCTGACCCTTATGCGCTATATAGGAGTCATACAGCGTGGACTGCTTGCGTCGCTTCAGTCGAGAGCAGGCTATGAACAACATCACAGTCAGCACACAAAGCAGCGCCGAGCAGCTAGCCGTTAGAGCCGAGAAGGTTGAGGTCTTCAGGCAGGTCTGATGCGGCAACTGTGGCTTGGCCTGCCGATGTGCATAGACATCGTCGCCATCGGACTCGCCCTCCTGCAGCACGCGCAGCGACTGAAACAGATTTACGTTCTCCGAAAGCGAAGCCTGCGCCGGACTTTCAGTGGCTTCGATTTCTGCGTCCGATAGCGGCGGCAGCGACAAATTTGTGGCTGTCATGTTGGACGTGTCGCGTTTGGTAACGGCCTTCAGATTGCGCCAGTGACAGGGCTGACTCTGTGAATGAAGGAAAAAAGAGGTAAGTACATCTATATTGAAAACCTGCTCTGCCATCATCCTACCGGACAGCGTCCATGGCACATGCGTACATCGCACTCAATGTACAGCGCCGGCGAACCCGTAAAGCGGAAAGTTTTCATATATGCATACACCTGCGTCTCGAATACGCCCGAGTCCGACCAGGAGCCCCTAAAGCGCGAGATGAGCTTGTCGTCCACGGGACAGCCCTGATGATCAATCAGCTGAATGCGCTTATTAGCGCCATTGTGCGCATAGCAATCATTCACCACTATATCGAAGCCGTCTAGAGGGGGAGCATTGAAGGACATACTTTAATATAAGCATAAGAGTTGCATATAATATGCATACCATATTTGCTGCGCATATAGATGATAAGCGTCAGGGGATCGCCCACACGCACTGGACCAGTCACACGCGGTCCACCAATGCCATAGCCATTCTGGATCTCCATATAGCACTCAGGTGGGCTGAGGGTGAAGACTACAGGATTTCCCGTTGCAACTCTGTAAAAGTGTAAAGGTATTATATAAAGAACTGTGTAAAGTAGTTTATAAAGAGAGAGAGAGAGAGAGAGAGAGAGTCAGAAATTGACTCAATAGCTAACAACATGTAAAACTAAGTAGATACATGAGAGCAACCTGACAAACTTCATATGGCTGGGACAATCCCACTATGCAATGTATATTTAAATCTTTCACCGACTTTACTTTAATCCATATAAAACCAAAATTCTCACTTTTACAAATCAAAATCAACAACTTACTCCACATCCAAAAAGGGAAATGTGACCGTCTTCCAGAAATCATAGCCATATTCGCAGGTGACCTTGAAATGTTCGTCGTACTCCTCCTCGATGAGCGGATTATACTGTACGGTAACTGTATTCCACATAAAGTTCTGCAATGAATACACTATATATATTAAGACATATATACTATAAAGATCAAGCGTACGCACCGTGGGATTCTTGCGACTCTCCTCCTGCAAGGAGTTCTTGCCCAGCGTGCCGCAGCGATTCAATTGTATGTAGAACTCATAGTAGTCCCGGCCAGAGCCATTGATGTACATGCAATCGGGATCGTAGGCATAGCCAGCGGAGTAGACTAAGCCACTGAATGAGCCATTAAAGCCAATGCGTATCTTCATGTAATCATCCTGACACTCAGCTTCAATATCTATCAGACATAAGATATAAATTGGATTATATTTAGATATACATAGATAGTGGAGGCACTTACGCTGCACTCGTGTGCTGTTGTGCGTGTACTGTTGCCCCGAGTAGTCCTGCTCCCAGTACTCCTCGTGCCACTTGTTGCCCTCGTAGGGCGCCGCATGGTAGCCCGCGCTGCCTGTTGGAGCGCCGCTGGAGTCGACGCCAGTTGAGCCGTAGTCCAGATGCACGGGATGCCCAATGCGCTGTGGCACATAGCCGGAGGAGTCGGGCACGCGATCGGGCTGCCATGAAAATATATAACCCATGCTAGTTACCCCACTCTCTTTCATTACCATCCTCAGCCACTCACCACCTCGTGCTGCAGTCTGTTTCGCTCCACGGCCAGGCTGCTGCGATTGCGCACATCCTTGGCGAATTTCTTCTGGGGCGGCAGTCCTGCGCGCTTGGCCAGCTTGGACGGCGGTGTGGCGGGGCCGGAGATGTACGATTTCGATGAAATGGCGACCAACTGCTGCTGGGGCTCGTCTGAGGTGCTGCTGGCCAGCGGACGAGCCTGCCGCTTCGAGGCATTGCGTGGCGTTGTCGTCTGTATGCGACCCTTGAAGCTGCGTCCGGGCGGTGCAGCGGACGTTGGCGACGGCGGTGGTGCTGTGGTGGTGGCCACCGCTGCCTTGCTCACTATGGCATAGTCGGTGCTCAGCTCGATGGTGCGGCTGGGCTGTGGCTGCGGCAGCAAAACAGAGTATGCACAATTACCATAAGTCAGAGCAAGCGAGTTTGTGTCTTAAGTCTTTCGTTTGAAAACAGCTGCATCATTGATTAAGAAATGATGCGGCAGGCAGGCCGCATAATTTGTGCAACGCCATCTCTTCCGCTGAACTGGGAAGCTACGCAATATGGCCAAGCATATCCGTTAGACCGGGGCGATTGGCCAACTCGATTTGGTTACGGTTCATGTGCGGTATGGCTGCTTAGCATAATCAGGAAGTTCGTTCTTAGAATGCAGTTTAACTGTTAAATAGATTAGTTTTTCTTCTTTTTTTTTCGTTCAAATGATTTGCCTATCAGCAGTGGTAAACAAAAGACTTAGGCAACAAACTCGATTGGCGCAATAGTGAAAGGCAGATTGAGAACTGAGAACATTTGCCTTTGGCCTCTCGACTTACCCGCATCAGCTGCACCAGCAGCAGCAAATAGCCCGCTAATCTGCACAGCTTCATGTCTCACACGCAACTAGTCGAAGCTGCAAAGATAAATATTCAATATAATCATTATTGGAAGGTCAAATAATAACGAGAACCTTGGGCTCTGTTCAGCCTGGATGCATCGGCCGACACCTCAGCCGCATGCGTAGCGGAAGCCAGGAAGGAAGTTTGTTTGGTTCATAAATTAATTATGGTCAATATGCGAGAAACATAAACATCAACAGCAACATCAGCAACGTCAACAGCATCGGCGTCTGTCGCCCAGAACAATGGCTGACAATGGCGTTGAGGTCGAAGGCATAAAACTCAGACTGTCAGCTAAATGCTGTGCTTTAATTAAAAAATTATAGCCAAAGCCACGCATGTAGAACCCTTCTTGAGGTTTGCTTTTCATGAATCACACAGTCGCAACTGTGATTCGGTTCGCCTGCCTGACTGCCTGCCCACCCGCCCACCTGCCTGACACGCCTCTCCTCTCGCCTTTGCCTTGCCAGCACCTCCGCACAAATGCTTGACTGCGCTTTATACATAGCTGTAAAAACGCACGCCGTTTGCTTAATTGTTGTTTTTATACACTGCCGGAGGGCATGCAACTTAGCTCATTAAATATGTTGCAGATTTGGTAATTGAGTTTTGGCAGAGGAGTTATAGATCAATAAATGTTGCTACACCCCAAGGTTTTTGTTTTTTTATGAATCTTGGCTAGAATCTATTTTTTATTATTTTACATATACATATGTATGTGAGCTATGTACATCAAAGCAGAAAAAAGAGTCTTTATAATGATATATATATAATATAATTTATGATATCTATAGCATATTTGTTTACTAAGCTAACAATATATCATTGAATATCTTATCATATATGGTATAAATATACATATTTAGAAAATATTGCATTTAACAATATCTTATTATACCCCGATTTTTATGTTAAAATACCATCCTTTCATACAATTGTATATTATATCATATGCTATCTATAGGACATCCTCTCCTATGCGTATCATTCCATATCCTATCACATTTTAGATCATATCATATGCCGTCTCTAAACAACTGCTAACAAAAATATTTCTTTATATTTCTCAACTATCAATTTTTTCTCAATATTAAATTTAAATTATTTTTTTTTCATCTGCCTGCTAGGGTATTTCATCTTTGGTCTGCCTACAGAGCTGGCTAGACTCTTCTTTCTTGTTATAATTACTTTAGGTTTGGCTTCTGCTGCTCGTTGTTTGTTTTGTTTATTTGCTGATTCGGGGTTCGCTTTGGCTTTACATCAGTTATGCAATAGTGTTTTTGTTGTTTTTCTTTTTTTTTTTTTTGTGGTTTCGGTTTCGGTTTTTGGCTTTCATTATTTTTTATATTTTTTACCTTTATTTATATATATATATTTATTTTTTTTATGTTCGCATTGCTGTTCTTTAATGCTCAGCTCGTACTTCGCCTCCACAGCCGCCGCCGCGTAATTATATTTAATTGTTGTAGCCTGACCTTGAGCCAGCCGTTCGAGCTTTGTTTTTCTTACCACGCATTCACCTACAATGCTAGCAATGTTAACGGTATCTGCACGTTATGGCTACAGCACGAGTTTAACATGAACCGTTTGACAGTTGACAGTTTTTGTTTTTGTTCTTTTATCTCCAAGTTTATTGACCGCAACTTAGAGCTAATGCGTGCTTTTAGTTAGATAATAATTAAGATGAAGAACTTAGAATAACTGCGTGGGATATTAGAAGTAAAGGGGAGCTGGGTTTTTAAAAAAGCAAGGGTATTATAATGACTGTGAATTCTTTGGCTTTGGACTTGCTCAGCTTCTGATAAGAGGCAAAGACGTAATATGATATAGCTGGAGAATAGGTTAAAATATATATTTATAAATCAAGTTAAGGAAATCTATATATTTTACTAAACAAATTTGTAAATTTGTGAGCTAAAAGAAAAAAATATGTATTTTTTTAATACTGAATTCCTTTTTTTTATAACTTAAGCACAATTTTCTTTATATATTATTTTTTTTTTTTTTTTTTTTTTATTTTTTTTTTTTTTTTTTACATTTTTAGTTTAAAAAAATTATTTTCATAATAATTTAAAGCTAGAATCATTTACCTCAATTAATAGCTTTTTTAAATACTTTAAATATTAATTAGATAAGAATAATTAAGTACAAATTCTGTACTTGAATTTAAGACTTCAATCAAATCAAGTTCATAATATTTAACGATTGACTTTTATAGTCAAATAATGAAGCAAAATTATTAGATATTTTAATAACCATATTTTTAGTGCAGAACTCACCTACTCGAAGTCTGAAGCCTCGTCTGCTCGTCTCTGTCTTCAACTTCCGTTCACGTTTAATCACGTTTTATTTGCACAATTCTCTTTGTGTCTATTTTTTTTTAGCTGGCCAAACACTGACCTGCTCCAAGTTTTAATTCGTTTTGCTTAGCGCCCAAAGATTTGTTAATGATTTTTACAACAGTTAACTCACTCACGCACACGTTCACTCACTTGGCACGCACTTTGACCAACTGACATGGAAAAACTTGGCCCATTTTCCGTTTTTTTGCTTTTTTGCTTCACATTTAACCAAATCCTATAAAAGTTGACGAGCCGTGCCCAAAATAATGCCGAAAGCGTTAACAAAACACTTGTGCGTGTGACTGGGTTGGTTTAGGGTTTAACTCCTCTCCTCGTTTTCTTCTTCTTCTGCTTCGTGTGCTTCTCCTTCTCCTTCTGCGTCTGCGTCTGCGTCTGCGTCTGTTGCTCTTGTTTGACTTTTGGGATATTGCGCGATTTTGTTATGCAGTTATGTGTGGCCCGATGTTTTCTACACCATTTATGCCATTTATCTATCTACGTCGTGCTTTACATGCTGCACGTCTCGGCCAAACTTTTGTTAGTTTTTCCGTTTTTTTGGAAGCCCGAAAAATCACTCAAGTGCAACTTGCCAAATAGAATCAGCGGCCGGGCCACAGCAGCGTTGCTCAATATTACATAAGAGGCCCTCCTTTATAAACGAACTCCGAATAGCGCCTAACGTATATCGTATATCGTATGAGGTATATAGCCTATCTCGTATGCCCAAGTTCCGATAGCCAAGCCTTTGGTTTGCAGCTCTTCGCGTTACGCGCAGGTGTGAAGCCAAGCGCGGCTAGCGCAAATCTTTATAGAGTTTTGCCAGCCAGGCAGCCAGCTAGAGCTTAGAAGCTGAGAGCCACCAGCCACTGGCCCAAGCCATGGGCAGATTGTTGTGAAAGAAGCTGCCAGTTAGCCTATCTGGCGACCTGGCCAGCGACCCAACCAGAAACCCAGCCAGAGTGTTGACTGGCAGCCAGCTCTGGTAATAGCTTTAGCTGCATGCGTTGCTTTACTTTCATTGCAATTCGAACGTTGGAAATTACACTGAGCTTATAGAAGGGTACTTAAATTGAGCGAGAACCATTCGACTCAGGGGCATAAGCAAATAGAGAGAGAAATATATATGTGAAAGAATATATATATATTTATTTTTTGGCTTAAACTTTATAATCGATTCAGATCGATTTAAATTCCATATCTTGAAGCTAACTGTACTTAGACCCGATAAATGGATAGATAAAAGAAGTAGGTTTATTGTATGAGATTAAAAATTCAGAGTATATACTTATTGGAGTCTACAGTTAATGGAATCCATACCTATAGGACTCTCTATCGCCTACAATCTAAGATCTATCATATTCTATTTACTACCTTAAATTATCTTCCTCTGCATCAAACCAATATACCTTGTAGTCCTATTTGCAATGGAATCAGAGTATAGTTAAGCCAAGTAATTCACTAGATATCAGCTCTCTTCTTTTCTGTAAGTGTAGCTCAACATGTTATACATTCTCATACCTAAGCTCCCCAATTTCTCAGAGTGTATGGCGGAAGTGCAGCATCAGCAGCAGCAGCAGCCGCAGCAGATTTTACTGCTACAAATGTTGTAATTGCAACTTCTGCTGCAACTTTGCTGCAAGTGTGGCTACTTCAGCTGCTTCTGCTGCTGACCCATTACCTTTTAGGCGTCAAGGTCAACGGCACCTAACTGTAACTTGTGGAGCAGCCGCAGCCGCAGCAGCGCAGCGCCCATAGTCGCATTACGGCAGACGTTTTGCGAAGCGTGTCTGCGTTAAAATAAACAAATTACTAATTAGTTAGTTAACACTTAACTGTTGGTTAATTAAACGCTCTGCTTTTCGATTGTGAAAGGTGAGCTGGCACCACCCCCCCGCGCAGTCGACTTGACCCTGACAGCGACAAGGGCAGCGCAGCCACTGTGACCAGGCCAGCAAATCTAAATTTTTGACCCACATTCATAATGGATCAACTGGAATATCCACAATATAAGAAAAGAAAAGTTGGCCAACTCATATCTTAAGATCGTAGCATTATCATTTTTATTGGGTTTTCTATTTATATAATTAATATTTCTTTTGTTTTTTATTTTTGTTTTTGTTTGTTTTTTTTTTTCACATTTCTTCATACTTTCATTCACAGCAAGCGCTGTTGCTCATCTCTGATACACTGTAATACATTTCACACAAGAAGCATACATAAAATACACGCATTTTGTTTCACTTTAATAAATCATATAACTAAATTCAGAATCGATCGCATTGATCGTGGCTTAAATCATACAAAGGTTGCAATTTTAAATACAAATAAATAATTAAAGTTTTTATAATTGTTTTTTTTTTTTTTTTTTTTTTTTTTTTTTTTGCTTTAAGTCTAAATTAGTAAAATATTTTTATACATTTTTTTTGTCATTTTATGTTGAACATTTGTAGTTTTTTTTTTTTTTTTCATTTTGAAAATATTTTATTGCATTTTTTGGATTTTTTTTTTTTTTTTTTTTTTTTTTGCTTTTAAGTTGAAACTGTAAACATTTAAAACTACTTTACACAGAATTGAAATTTCTCATTTTGTTTTTTGTTTTTTTTTTTTTACACAATTACTAATTGGTAAATTTTTAGTTTTTAAATATTT